GTCAAATCTCTCTTGCGGAGTTCACCTTCCTTGTTTTGACAGTTTTGGCAGCCTTGAGGCACGGGAGCGACGCTGCTCCGTTCGCCAGATGAACGCGGCCGGGGCGCCAGAGAGGCAGCGAGGCCTCGCGCCTCCAAGTCTACATGCCCACGTCCGGCTTCAGAAGTGACGCCAGCTGCCAGTGCTTTTCTGTCCTTTTTCTGCTCCCGCGGGAGTTGCGGGACTCGCGCTGCGCGGGGCCACTGGGGGCTGGCGGCCGCGGGGGCGGCGCGGCGTGGGGGCGGCGCGGGGCGGAGCGGCGGGGGCGGCACTTGGCCGCCACCACGGAGGCAGAGCACGCCGAGCAGGCCAAGCAGGCAGATTAATGAAAGCGCTTCGGAAAGCGCTGCAGCCCGATTCCGAACAGGGTCGCTCTGTCTCTCTCGCACGCCCTGCGTCGCCCTGCGTCGCCCTGCGTGCAGCGCCGTGAGTGCGAGAGAGACAGGGACGACGGCCGCGCGCTGCAGTCGGGTGGAAGGGAGAAGGCAAACACGTTTTCGGCAGACGTGAGGACGGAGTGGCGTTGCTTGGCGTTGCTTCGCGTTGCTTTGTGGGCGTGTTGTGTTCGGCGCGTGGGCGGCGGGGGTGGGCGTGGGCCTCGGGCTGGGCGGAGGGCGGGGCAGGGGGCGGGGGCTATCGCATGACGCTAGTTAAGAGGACCCCGACGCTCGCGTCAGCGCGTCAGCGCGCCAGCCCTGCTGGGCGCTCGGCACGGCCAGTCAATGTGACGGCGACGCGTTCAAAGCCAGCGGCGCGGCGGGCTGGCCGACGGGCTGGCCGACGGGCTGGCCGACGGGCTGGCCGACGCGCTGGCCGGCCACCGCCACCTTAGCCGCACAATGGCCCTTTCACGGCGCAGGCTGGCCGGATCCGGTCGGTAAAGCGCCGAGTCGGCCGAGGCTGGAAAGAAAAAAAACTAATTTCCCGCATCTAAGCTGGGGAGAGGGAAAGCTGGGAAAGGAAATAAAGGCCGAAAGAGAGGAGGAGCTTTGGGGTGCAGCCCCGGGGAAATGCCCTACGTGTGGTGCAGGGCCTGTAGGGCAGGGCCTGTAGGGCCCGGCACGCAGTGAATAGGGAGCGCGAGGAATGTCAGCGAGTGGCGACACCAACCAACACACACACACACACACACACACACACACACACACACACACACACACACACACACCTATTGTGGCCGCGTGCATTCTTAGGCCGCAGCCTCTCATTGATGCCGCGGGGACAATGACGGCTTGCAGAATGCAGTGCACCATCCAGGCCAGCCGGGCCATGCCAGTGCGCCAGCCAGCCAGCCAGCCAGCCGCATGGAACAACTGTGTGGAACAAGCCCGGCCGACGCGGCCGCGACGCGCCGCGGTCGCAGCACTGGCCCGCACTGCCCCGCACTGCCAGGTACACCGCAAAACTCCGATCACGTTTTTCTGTCGTTATTTCTGGATCTTTTTCTTTGGATCTTTCGCCCTTTAACTTTAAGAAAATATTTCTCTGGCGGGGTGCAAAGTGCAGCCCGCGGAAGCCGCCCCTGTTTCATCGCCGAGTCTTCCTTTTACAGTGCATTGTGTCCTCGCCGTCCTCGCCGTGCTCGCCGTGCTGGGGGCGCAATAGTTCTTCCAGGTGGATTGCAGGTGGGTAACGAGGAGGGGGCCGTCTCATTGCTGAGCGAAAGCCAATCCGAAAAGAAGCAAGGGAGAGAAGGGGTTGCGACCTGGCCGCCTGATTCCGCATCGCGCACTTGACGCTCTGTCTCTCTCCCACTTGTGGGCCGGTCCGCAGGCCCGCAGCGGTGCGAGAGAGACAGAGCGCCGCGAGGGCCCTTGATAAACGGGCCGCCAATAAGGCTAGCGACAGGAAATAGAAATGTGAAACACGGCAACAGGAAGAGCGGGGAGGGCGGGGTGTGTGTTATTAACCCTGTTTGCCCTCCCCGTCCCCACCGTGCGTCCTGATGACACTCCGCTCTCTCTCTCTCTCTCTCTCTGTCTCTCTCTCTCTCTCTCTCTCTCTCTGTCTCTCTCTCTCTCTCTCTCTCTCTCTCTCTCTCTCTCTCTCTCTCTCTCGCACTCATGGGGCGGCCCGTTTGAGTGCGAGAGAGACAGAGAGACCGACACGCCTGCAGGGAGATGGATAGGAATCCTCTCCGCCAGATGCGGCGTGACGCGCGCAAGGCAAAAGTGGGAGGGGGGGGGCTTTATTTTTCTCCAGCGGCGGGTGCTCCTTCTCCTCCTCGGTGCAGCCCGACTGTTTATGGGGGTCGTCACTCCGTTTGGGAGGGCCCGGCCGGAGCCTTGGAGCCCGACTGGAGCGCTGGCGTGGTTTGCCCCCCGGCTGCCCCCGGACTGCCCCCGGGCTGCCCCCTGCCCGCCGCGTCAGCGGTTTCCACACGAGGGCCACTTGTTAGAGCCGCAGTGTTTGCTTGCGGTGGAGAGGCAAAAATGAAAGGGACGGCGCTGCTGTGTGAGAAACGCCAGTATTTGAACCCCGGCCCCTCGCCCCCACTCCTCTGAGGCCACCATCACAACTCTGCAGTTTCCATCGAGTTTCCAGCAAACTTTTTCTAAATTGATGCAATGAACTTATTTTCTGGAAGGGTAACTAGAAATGATAAATTTACATGGGAAAATGCTCTATCTCTTCATATCTTGCAGTAGGAAAAGCCCATTTTCATTGTAATTGTACTACACGAAGAAAATGTGTGATGCTTTATACCAACTGTCGTTGTAAAATGTGAGAGTGTGTTCGCGCATACCTTACACAACTACCAGTCCAGTCGTTCATTACGGATGGGCACATCCTGGGGTGCCCTGAAGCAAGGTACGCGTCGACCAGTTGTTGTTAAAAGCACCGCTTGAAAGTCCCGCCGCTGCCTTTACCTTTCCGCTGAGGGTGTAGGGGCGCTGTCGTCAGCCGGTCGCCCCGGCGCCGCTCTCCATGCCGAGCCCCCTCCGCCACCGGCGCGTCGTCGTCGCGAACCTCGTCGACGTGAAGCTCGCCCTGCCCGCGGAGAGGCGTCGCTCCACCGAGACCCGAAGCGCGCCGCCTGCCGCCAGGACGCGGACTGGCGGACTGGAGCAGGCGAGCACCCTGGCTGCCTGGCGCACTGGCCGCCTGGCGCCACCCCCCCGCAGTGTCTCTCTCTCCTCCCGACTGCCTCTGTCTCACTCCGGCCCGCCGTCGGCTCGTCTGTCTGTCCGCCCGCCGGACTTTCATCACTCGAACGGATCTCGGCGAAAATTTGAGACGCCCTGTGTCCGTGCCTGTGGAGTGCACTAGGTGGCACCGGCCGGGCCACGGCAGGGGGTTCTCGGCGCGGTGCGCTGTGACTCCAGGAAGTCGACTCACTATAAAGCCTTAGCTCCAGACTTTAGCCCCAGACTTTGGCTCCAGCCTTGGCTCCAGCGGACGGCACAGCGCGCTCCGCGGTACTCATTTGGACCCCCCCCCCCTTCGCCCTCTCTCTGCGCGGTGGACTCTTTAACCGGCCTGATTACGCATGCAGGCATTACAAATAAACAAAGAAACAAACAAAACAAACAAACCAAAACAGCAAAGACGAAGTGCATCGCTTTGTTCTTTGATCCTGCCGGCCGGGTCGGGCTAGGTCGGGCTAGGTCGGGTCGGGTCCACCGAAGCCGCAGCCACAGACCTGGTGGCGGCAGAGCGGGCAGAGCGGGCAGAGCGGGCGGAGCACTGCAAAGGAGCGGCCGAGAGCAGACCTGCAAATCCGGGGGCGAGCTGGAGGCGGCCGCGGAGAGGCGGGCGGGGGGCAGGGCGAGGACGGCACTCGGAGTGATTCGCAGCAGCGCAACAGAGCGGCCCAGGCGCTTTCAGCATTCAGCCCGGTAGGTAGGCAAGCCCGGCAGACAGCCCTGCGCGCCGGCCGGCCTACCCGCTCGTCCGCAGGCGCTTTTCCCCAAGCGCGAAGCCGCCATGCGCTCCGTCTGCGTCTCTCTCCCTCTCTCTCTCTCTCTCTCTCTCTCTCTCTCTCTCTCTCTCTCTCTCTCTCTCTCTCTCTCTCTCTCTCTCTCTCTCTCTATCTCTCTCTCTCTCTCTCTCTCTCTCTCTCTCTCTCTCTCTCTGTGTTGTTCGCTCGGACAGTCGTCGGTGAGGAATCTCCGTCCCAGCGATAAATAATCAGCGCGGTGCTGCGGTGCACCTCTCTGCCGATCGCTGCTGATGCAGTGCTGCGTCCCCAACCGGCCCCGACCGGCGTCCACTCCGCGCGCCGGTTTTCATTTAATGGCCAGCGTATCAATACGCGGGGCAGGCCGTTCAGATAGCGATAAATATCCCCAACTAAATGCGAGGGGCGCGGCGCGAAACGCAGATAGAGGCGTGGTGTGTGTGGCCAGGCAGCGCGACGCTGCGCCAATGGATGGCGCTCGCTGGCCGCCAGTGTACTAGCTACAGTCGCTGTCGCCCTACCCCGGAGGCCGAGGTTCGAGTCCCTAATTTAAGTGATGATCCCCTCTCATCAGTCGAGGAAGCAATTTGAATCGTCCGACCATCGAAGTCGACGCCTCTCAGATCTCTGTCAACACAGCTGTCATAGGAATAAGGGTGGGTCAACTGAGAGCGGCGATAAGTCCATCCCGTTTTCGTTTCGCAGTGGCGTGACGCACACTGGCCTTGCGCCTTGTGGCCCCCAGCAGTCCCTAGCAGCCCCGCCAGGCCTCAAGGCCATCCCCAAGGCCGGCCGCGCGCTCCGAGAGACCGAGAGACGACTACCCATTAAAATGCATGCGTCGCTTGACGGTGCTTGACGGACAAGCGACGCGCCACGAGCACGCTCCCCATTGGATGCGGCCGAGGCCTCGGCCGAGCCTCGCAGTTTGGAGCGCGAGGGCAAATTAGGTCCGGATGCGACGCGCCGTGCAGCGCTAGGCACGCTGTCGCTGCTGTCGCTGGCGTGGGGGTTTGGGTTTGGGCTTCGTGGGTCGCTGGCTAACAAGACACACAGCAAGGACACAGCACACTCACTTTATTTTCACTTTGTTCCGAACACGTACACAACAACAACAACACGAACGACGTCGCTCTGGCCAATGGCACACATGGAGGGACTCTGCCGGACTAGCTTCGCTTCGCCATGCTTCGCCTGACCGCGGCACCGCACGGCGCCACGGCCTGTCAACATTAAAATTGGCAAACTTTGCCGTGCTCTCCTGGAGGGCCTGCTGGCTTGCCGGACTGCCGGGCCTCGCCGCCAACACACGCGCGGCGCAGCAGCAGCCTTCCCGCGCGCGCGAGAGTTTCCTGCTGAAATTCAAATAGCCCCGCCGGAGAGCGGTGCGGTCGGGTAATGAAAAAGGGGGCGGGGGAGGGGCGGGGCGCGCACCGCGGTACGAGTCAAAGCTTGAATGGGCAGCGGACGGGGAGTCGGTCTGCCGCGCAGTGCCGCGCAGTGCCCTCCATGCAGGAAACCGCGGGGGCTGTGTGCATTCACGGTCGAGATCTTGAGTAGAAAAATTAACACAGCTTACATTTTCTTTTTTTGTCACGAGTATTTCTCTGTCTGTCTTTGACTTATTTTTCGACGGGGTCCTTGGGCCCGCCACCGAGTCCGCAGTCCGTGGACTTGCGCCTCCGCACAGTGTCCTCGCCCTCGGCCGCGCTGGGCGTCGCCAGGTGCGCGCTGAACCGCCGCGGCGCCGACGTGTCCCCCGAGCTGGAGTAGTCCCTGAGCGCGGCGAGGCGCGCCAGCGGCGCCTTCTCGGTGCCCTGCTTGTTGGCGTCCGCCGCGGGCGGCTGCTGCTGCAGCAGCGCCGAGTTCCGGTTGTTCTTCTGCTGCACCGCGTCCGTGGCCGTGGCCGCCGCTGCGGCCGCCGCCGCCGCGCACGCCGCCTTGTTGTTGAGTATCACAGTGTTGTTGGGCTTGTCCAGGGCGTCCTTGGACACGTCCTTGGACAGGCACTTGTCTTTGGCGATATCCGACATCTGGACGGGGCAGACAAGACAATAGATAAGAACACACGCCGTACGCGGTCGTGACTGACTGCTTATCCGTCGCTATCGCGCTATCGGGCAGCGAGTTCGATGTTCGACGTCTGGACGTCGCCGCGGCACAGCCTCTAAGGTGACTGGCGGCGTATCTCTCGGTAGACTTACAACGCAGGCTTCGTGGTCCTTGTCGGAGTGCACCTTGGCCTCCCTGCGGGCCTTGTTGGCCTTGCTCAGGTGGCGCAGGTAGAAGTGGTTCAGCATGAAGTACACGAGGCCCGCGCCCAGCGAGCCCGCCGCGAACACCCGGTAGGTGTTGCGCGTGCCCACGGCCTTCATGAGGTAGCCGCCGATCAGCGAGCCGGCGCCTTTGCCTGCGAGTAAAAGTAGGTCAAGGTCACTGCACAAGGCTTTCAAGAACACACTGGTTTACAAGGGTATCGGCCACTGACCGACGCCGTAGTAGAGGCCGCCGATGAGGCCCTGCACGCTGGTGTCCGTGGACGAGGAGGACAGCGTGGCGGCGTAGGTGACGGCCGCCGTGGTGGCGAGGGACGACGTGAAGGACTCCATGGCCTCGAACACGAGGCACAGCCAGGGGTTGTAGATCATCGAGTAGCCTGCGGCAAGGATCGGCAAGGGTCACCCTGGCGTCGCGACAGCCACCTCTCTCCACACTGTGAGCACTGTACCGACCGAAGAGGCGGATGGCGTAGAAGACGAAGCCGACGAAGAGCACGTTGGCGTGGCCCACGCGCTCGATGATGGGGCCGCTGAGCACGAGCAGCGGGATGCCGGCGATGCCGCCCACCGTCACCGTGATGCCCATCAGGGAGCGTGAGCCGCCCAGGTCCTGCAGCAGCCAGAACAGGAAGTTCTCGATGTAGCCCCACGCCGTGCCTGCAACAGCGCGACAAGGAACGCGATTAGAAGGCTTCTGGAAATCGCGAGAGCATGTATGTCGCGTGTCTGCAGTTGCATCTCTCTCTCCTCCACTGCCTCACGAACGCACCGAGGAGGAAGCAGACGACGAACAAGGCCACCATCTCGACGTTCTTGAGTACGTGCAGCACGTCGCCCACCACGTTCTTGGCGGGCGCCTTGAATTGCAGGTCGATCCTCAGCATGAGCAGGCCGCTGGCCAGCTTGAGCGCGGCGTACAGGTAGAAGGCCGGCCTGGCGGCAAAGCGAACACATTTTTCTGAAAACCGCCAACAGCAACATTATAACGCTTGTTTTGTTTGGAAGCAGTCGCTGGCACCTGAAGTCCGTGTAGTGCCTGCCGGCGCTGGCGTAGTCGATCAGGATCCCGGACAGCGGGGACGAGATCATGCCGCCGATGGAGGCGTAGATGCGCTGCAGGCCGTAGTCACCGTTGTGCTCGCGGAGGATGGCGATGACCGCGCCCTGGAACAACAAGGCGTTCAAAGGCCTGCCGGGCGGAGAGTCACAGCCAGGGTGAACACAAGACGCACCTCGAACATGGCGAAGGACGTGCCGCCGATGACGCCGACGAAGACGCGCACGATCAGGTACATCCAGAAGGTGAAGCTGGGGTCCACCTCGACGACGTCCTGCATGTTGCTGCAGAAGCGGATCCGCGGCGCCGACGCCAAGCAGCTGGCCACGCATTGCGAGAGCGAGGTGGCCGGGGACTGGGGCTCCTGGCTGGCCAGCCACACGGACGCGGAGCGGCCCGCCTGAATTCACCAAGACGCATTAAATTTGAAGGCGGTCCAATGGTCGGATCCTGGAAGTCCCTGCGGGACGCGGCGGGACGCGGCCTCACCTTGGCGAACGTGTCCCCGCAGACGGCGGGCACCGGCCGGGCGCCCCGGACGACGGACGGCAGTGGGTCGAGCTTGGCCACGCGGTAGCGCTGCTGCTGCTGGGCCAGGGCGTCCGCGGCGGCCAGCACGGCCACCATGCGGGCGTGCGGCGTGGGCTGGTCCACGGGGTTGCCGTGGCCGACGGCGCCCTCGCGCCCTAGCAGGCACCGCATGGTGGCGTTGTCGTCGTTGTCCTCGCACCGCAGCGTGTGCAGCCCCGGCGTCGGGAAGTACACCCTGGGCGGCGCCGCGGGCGAGGCCATGACGCCGAGGTCCGGCAGCAGCCGCGCGTCTAGCGGCCCCGGCGCGCCGTGCCCGGTGTACGCCTTGGCCGGCCTCGGGGTCGCCAGGTTGTACGAGAACGTGTCGCTGTGCGCCCCGTCGTCGGAGATGCGGAGGGAGAACCTGCGGAAGGCAGAGGAGAGTGACGGCGTTTGCGAACGGGCAGGCCGGTGAGATTCGGCCGGGCCGACGCGTACCTGGATGCCGCGCGGAGGCTGTGGTTGAGCTGCGTGGCGTCGGGGAAGTCAGCGCTGCACACCACGCCGCAGCTGTCCAGGGTTAGGTTGACCGGGGCGCCGTCCGCGTCCCAGGGCACGGCGCGGCACGGGTTCTGGTCCGCCCACACGGCCTCCAGCGAGCTGCCTGGAACAGAGGCGGCGTGTGAGGGGCAGCGCCTGGACACAGACGAGGAGCGCTGGAGAACGAGCCGCCTCGTACCTGGGCAGCCCACGGAGAAGTAGACCCTGTCCGAGTACTTGACGTTGTAGCGGCCGACGGGCACGGCCAGCAGCAGCAGCGCGGCCAGCCCGCCCAGCGAGGAGAAGAGCGCCAACATGAGCTGCGGACAGACAGACAGACCGCGGCGCCGTGAGGGTAGGCACACCACGCGGCCGCCGCGCCGGACTGGCGGGCTGCTCGCCGGGCGCGGAGCGGTGGGGCCCGGACCGCGCGAACGCCCCGAAAAACGGGTTCAAGGGAAAATGATGCTTTTTCGCCGTCTTTTTGCCCGGGTGGGAATAGCGGAACGGAGGCCGTGACCCACAAGAAGGCGGCGGTGTGGCGGTGTGGCGGTGCATGCGGCAAGGTGGCTGAACCGTCACGGCGCGGCGCGCTGCCGCGCTGGAGCACTGGAACCGGTTCCGCCCATCGACTCGCCATTCATAGGCGCCGGGGCACGGCACGGCACGGCACGGCACGGCACGGCACGGCACGGCACGGCGTCAGCAAGTCGGCAAATACGAGCGAATGAGGAGCGGCGCCAAGACCGGCCACAAAAAAATTAAGTTTGTTCGAAATTTTTAGCGATGTGAAAGTTGGTGTCCGAATGGGCGCTGGCCTTGGCGTGACGGTTATTGTTGATGTTGTTGTTGTTGTTGTTGTTGCTGGTGAGCACGTCGTAATCACACTCATCGCTCTCCGGGCCACCACCGCGGGCGCAGGGCACATGTCCGTCAGGAGCGACGCCGCCGGACGGAGCGCCATCTGTGCTAATTGGCAAGTCACGCATCCTTTCTTTTTTCCACTTTTTTAAAACAAAATTGTTTAACCTAGTAAAAAACTATCACAATTTTTTTTTGTAAAACTAATTGGTTTATCGGGTTTAAGCAAAAAGTAGTAGCGCTGGTTGAATTTTGGAAAACCGTGGTCTCTTAAGACGCACGTGAAATAGAGAGTGGGGGAAGGCCCACCGCCCGCGGCACCGCGGGGCAGCGCGAGGCGGCCTGAGACTGAGAGGCTGTTTCTGCGGCGTTGTCGCGCTGTCTGCCCCGCCGCCCCCCAGTTTTTTCCGAGTCAACACCGGGCAAACCCGAACGTGGCCGCCCACCCACCACAGGAAACGGATCGTGCACTGGCGCCATGCATTCGCCAGCATTCGCCTGCATTCGCAGCGGCCGGCGGTCGCTCGGCTCCAACCGGATCTGCTCGCTGAAAGCAGGCATTACCGCGGTGAAGGCTAGGCAAAGCACCTCGCCGCAGAGAAGAAAGAAAATAACTGCATAAAAATGACAATGGCCGTGGTAGCACGAAAAACAAACGAGTGCCGTTGTGCGGCCTTGCGTGTTCTGTTTTCCGGCTTTCCGATGGCGCGAAAATTTAAAATTTATGCCGGTCGCGCCGCGGAAGACGGCACGCCACGCCGCCACGCACCGGTGGAGGGAAAAGTTGCACGCAGCCACGCAGCCCGACGGACCGTATTGCACTACCGACCAAGACGAAGAGACAGGACCCGATTTACATAAAAATGGTGGGCACCAAATTTCGGCGGTCAGGAAGGAAACTTGAGCGGTCGGGAAGGGAATTTCAGCAGTCGGTGACTGAGTTCAGTGGCCAAGTTAAATATGATGATAGCGACTAGTGCCGAGGCGGGGCCTGACTGTGTTGATGCACTGTGCTATTACAGTGCGGTGCGCAGTTGCCGCTTGAGCTATCAGGGCATCTTAATGAGCCCCATCCGTCACCGACCACTGTGCCCCACTGTGGCCCGCGACACCTGAACGCCGTGGGGGAGGCGAGGCGTGCTGGAGGCTCCCTAGCGCCCCGCCCCGCCCCGCCCCGCCCCGCCCCGCCAGCCCCGCCCCGCCCCGCCCCGCCCCGCCCCGCCCCGCCCCGCCCCGCCGGCACGCCCGAGCAGCCAGGCAGCACGGCAGCACGGCAGCACGGCGGCATGGCCCACCTTGAAGTTGCCGATGCGGTCCGCGATGACGCCCGCCACTGGCGGCATCACGATGGCCACCACGGGCGTCACGGCCGACATGATGGCGGTCTCCTCCACGCTGATGCCCAGCTCCCTCATGTGGATCGTCAGGTAGGGGTACAGCACCAGCATCGCTGCAAAACAACGCCGCGCGTCAGACCAAACAAGCACAGCAGGGAATTGAGGGAAACCCTTTGTACTCACTGGAGGCGTGCACGAAGAAGAGCATCTTGAGCGGCAGCAGCTCTTTGTGCTTGAAGTCCTCGGCGATCCGCCGGCAGAACGAGCTGGCCGACATGGTGGACGTCTTGGTGGACATGGTCGGTCGATATCACAGCCTCTGGTCGTGAAGAAAGGGGCACGCGTGGACACCCACACGTCGTCGACGTTCAGGCCGCTCTCCGGACTCGGACACCGCAACGCCTGCGCTGCGGGGGCCTGCTCGGGGAGGTGCTGCTCGCCTGCTGAGGTCACCGGGGCAAGGCGCTGGCCAGCTCCAAGTCGGCCGGCACGATGGGCCACGCCACACTGAATATCCTCATCGGGTTGGCCCGTCGCGGGACGGCGCTGACGGCGTGGACGGCGCTGACGGCAAGGCGGTCCTCGGAGCGGCAGGCCTTGCGGCAGGCGGTGGAGGGCGCCGTCCTGCAGCTCATCCTAGGCCAGCTGCATCTACCTGCGACAGGACAACGATCTTGAGACCATTTACAAGTTTGGGCAAAACGCGTTGGACGTTCCGAAACACGTCCCGAAACACGCGCGACGGCGCGGCCGCGGCCGGCCCCTCGGCCGCTTGTGCTCCACAGTTCACTCGCCGCTTACTTGACTCTAACGGAGGCCGAATCGCCGTAAACTCGCGGCGGACGTTTCAAATTGGGCACTTTGCGTCGCCGCGCCGCCGCGGAGACCGTGGCGGAGACCGTGGCGGCGGCCGCACGGCGGGCCTCGGAAAGGCCGGCCGCGCACCGCGGTTCGCGTCCACTCGACCCAAAGCCGGACCAACGCGGATCAAGGAGGGGGGGGGGGCAAAAGGGCAATTGTTCTTTCAGCCTCAGGATAGCTGCCTGAAAGGTAGGCAAAGGGCCACACTTTGCCCCCACAAGAAGGCAGAAAGTGTCGTACGTTGCCCCTCCCGCCTCCCCCTCCGCTGGTCGGCTCTGGATCCGCCACTGGAGCCAAAAACCAGATTCATTCGGTTCTTTGCGAGCCTCTCCTGGGAACGCGGCGCAGAGTCGAGCGACTATTGAAACGCTGGCGTCCGGTATGTAACGTACCGCCTACCGCCCGCCTGCCGGCCAGCCAGCCAGCCAGCCAGCCAGCCAGCCAGCCAGCCAGCCAGCCAGCCAGCCAGCCAGCCAGCCAGCCAGCCAGCCAGCAGGCCGTCACGTCGCTTGGTCGCTAGTAAAGCGCCGCGCCGCATAGAGAGAATGGTTCGCGCGCTGCGGATTGAAAGCTCTGGGCGCTGGAGGCTCCGCGGCGGCAGCTCGGCGGCAGCAAGCACACGCTGCGCAAATGGGCCGAAAATATCCGATGATTGGGGGAAGGGGAGAGGGGGGGAGTAGAGGCAACGCGACGTCCTAGGTGCGCGCGGCACCGCGGCCCTTGGCGGCGCGTACGTACGGAGGGGCCAAATCGCCTGGAAAATGGAGGTGCGGGAAGTGAACCCCCGGGCCCCCGCCCCCGTGCGCCCCCTCCGGCGAAGGCGGAAATGCAGCAGCCGTGCCGTGGCCGGCGGCATCGCGCTGCTCGGTGCCGTGCACTACCGAGTCGTTTTCGTCGCTCTGTCTCTCTCGCACCCATTCGGGGCGCACCATCACCGCGACGAAGACGACTCTCGAAATGAGCCCGCCGGGCACCGCAGTCTGCAACCCCGCCTCCAGCAGAGGACGGAAAAGGAGTCACGGCGCCTTCCCCGCGCGGCGTGCGCGTTGCTTGCGACACAACGGCTGCAGCCTCGGTGCACGCGTGTCGTACTCCACGCTCTGCTCGCTAAAGGATTGGAGGACTGGAGGACGTCCTCGGCGCCTTGCTGCCCTGCGCACTGTGCGTGCGGCGGTGAGGCGGGTGGGAGATGATTTGGGTCCAGTCGGATAGTGCGGGGGTGCGAGGGGGAGCTGCGGGCGGTACGAGAGGTGGGAGAGAGGCTCGGAGAGAGGTTTCGCGCGCGGTGCGCGGTGCAGCAGCTCGGGTTACCAGGTGACACTGTAAGTGATTGACGCCCCCCTACCCTCCTCCCCGACCCCGATCCTCGCCCTCTCTCCCTCGGGGCACGGCCGACGACGAGAACGGGCCTGGTGGCGCCTCGGCCGGCAGGACGTCGGTGACGTCGATTAGTGGGGCGCCGCCGGGGCGAAGTTGTATGTGCTCACTGCTTGGGCTTGGCCGGGCACGGCCTGGGTGTTGGTTTTCTGGGTCAGGACGCTCGTCCTCCCCCCCTTTCCCCACGCCGCACCGCGTGCCGATACGAGAATGGTGCGTTTCGCGGCGCGGTCGGCTCCTGGCAAATGCAGACGTAGGACGACGGCGCCTCGAGGCAAATGCCGCCCCGCCCCGTCCCGCTCCGGAGGCAAACCGCGACCCAGACCAACACGAGCGTGAGGAAGGCCGATGTAGGACTGCAGGGCAGCAGCGCGACGCGTGGACAGCGTCGACGGCGTTGACGGCGTTGACACGAGGCCTTCACCGCCCAGAACGCTTCAACACGTTCCAATTTGGACTTTGACAGCCGCCGCGACCACCGCACCGTGGGCACCCGCACCTGGAAGCGTGTGGAAGTGTGACTGGACGAGGCGGCCAAATCGCCGCAGTTAGCTTCCGGACGTTGGCGGCTGTGATTGTCTGATTGTCGGAGTGCCGGTGCGACGACGCTCCCGGCGGAGCGGCAGACCGATTGCGGGAGTCTTATTCGCCGCTCTCACGTCTCTCTTGCTTCTATACGGGACGCCCCATGCGTGTGAGAGAGACAGAGCGCCGGAAACGACTCTCGGAAATCAGTCTGCAGGCAGCAGGCAGCGCGGAGACGGATTGCGGGGGAGCAAAACGAATCAAAGGCGGAGAGTGTGATTGATTCGCGGCTGGTCCGGAATCCCCGCGGGCACGGCGCTGCGCCGTGTGCCCCGCTATGGAGGTGGCGGCAGCGGTGGCGGCCGTAACCCGAGTGCCACCGCGGACCGCGGAGCCCGAGGGCCAGGCCGCCCAGACCAAAACGGCGCCACCGCGGCACTCGGCACGTGGCGGCCAGTGGCGGCCACGAATTCTTGGTGTGGCGGGGCGGGGCGGGGCGCGGGCACGCGCGTGCGGCGGTCTTATCGGCACGCAGGGGCCGCGCCGAAACGGCGAGGACTCCCTCCAGGTGACGACTTGCGAGACGGCAGGGCACGGCAGGGCATGATCCCGCTCCTCAGGCTCCTCCTCGTCGCTCCGTCCCTCTCGCACCCACCCCGACGCCCCCGACACCCCGTGAGAGCGAGAGAGTCAGAGCGACGGGCACACTGTTCGGAATCATCAGCCTGCACCAGCCAGCCGAGTGCGCCCGGCCCGCGCCGCGTGATGCAGTCACGTAAGTTTGGCCCCGCTCGCGTGCATCGCCGCATTCGCCGTGATTGGCCGTCCACCTTCGTCACACACACACACACACACACACACACACACACACACACACGGCGCTGGAGGGAGGAGCTTGGTGCGGGGGTAGGCAACCCGGTGCGCCCCTGTGCCGACGGCGCGGTGGCGGCTGCCTGCCTGCCTGCCTGCCAGGCGCTCTTTCTCTCCTTCCCTCTCCGCCGCCGGCTCGGCTTCGGCTTCGGATTCGGCTTCGGCTTCCCGCTTCAAAGGTCGAGGGGCGGCCTTGTTATGCAACGTCCGAACGGCCGAACGGCCGATAAGCCGCGACTGGCCCAGAGAGGGAGGGAGTGTGTGTGTGTGTCTCCAGCGGCGAAACACTGCAAGCGTGCCGCCCCCTTCGCGCCCCTTCGGGTGCGAGAGAGATGGAACGAAGCGCCTAGTTATGGCCGGCGACTAATGCCAAAATAATGCCGGTGGATGCGCTTTGCGTTTCGGGGCTGCCAAGCGCCGCTGTCGCTGTCGTGGCCGTGGCCAAGGACAACGCCATTATTTTTTTTTGCGGATGGTCAAAGCGCTGGGCCGGCCGGGCAGCTGGACAAAATAAACACGTGTCCAAAAATGACGGAGCGCATTCTCGCCTAATCGCGGCCCGTGCTGCTGTGTTGTGTATTGCTGCGCCACGGCGGTTTTCCCGAAATAAGTACTCGTCCAATCTGCAGATTGAAGGTTTGGCTTCCCTGCGCACACACGCCACCCACACCGCGAACCCAGCGCCTATTTCTGCTGTTGTCTCTTTTTTTGCCTCCTCTTTTTCTACGTGGCGTTGCCGCGTGCATGCCTGGCGCGGTGCCTGCCCTCTGCGCACGAAACGTCCCGGACGCCGGGCACAGGCCAGCCGCCGACGCCAGTTACGCAGATCTCGGCCGGATCTCGGCCGCGCCACTGTCGTCCTTGTGTCGTCGTTCTTTCTCTCTCGCACTCACGGGGCGCTCTTCGACCACGCAGAGTCCGCTATTCTTTCCATTTGGAGAGAAAGGTCAGCTTTGTTTGTTTGCAAGCGACCGGCGGGTAAAGTGCCGTTGCTGTTTGATGGGCGTGGAGGCCGAGGCGCGCGCACCGCACGCGGCACGCGGCCAGCTGCTTTAGGGAGACAGGACGTGGACGCCGTGACCTTGGCCAGCCTTGGCACGGCGGTGCGCGGGTTCGCGTCCCGGTGGCGCCTAGCGACCCTCGCCTCGCCCGTCGCGTTCGGCACTGCGTTCTGCATTCCGCGCGGGATGACGAATTGACGGTGTAGTGCGCGTCAACAGGTAAACAGGCAGCTTCACTTTCACTCCCATTGTTGGGTAAGAGGGTGGCCGCGCTTCGCTTCGCCATGCCCCGCCGTGCCGCCTTGCTTCAGGGCCTTCAGGGCCGACAGCGCGAACGGCGCGGCGGCGCGGCGGTACGCAAGCTCTGGGCCGCGACCGCCCGCGACCTCGCCCCGCCCCGCCCCGCGCCGCGCTCTGCTCATCTGGCGTCGGAGCCCACCGCGCAATCCAGGACGGGCGGGCAGCGCAAGCAGCGCAAGCAGCGCAAGCACTCCCTCGTCGTGCACGCCACTCCGACGGCGAAGCACGGCGAAGGCTGCTATGCTCTCCTTCTTCCACAGGCTGTGTGCACCATCGCCCTGGCACCTTCGCGACCACGCCACTGCTGTCGACGGCGAGACAGGGCGAAGGCAGCCGCGGCGGTTCGAGGGGACTGTCGATGTCGAGGCACTCAGAGACCTAAACGCTGGCATACCTTACCGTGCAGACTGAGTATCCGATCAGTGGAGAAATATTTCGGCCAGGGCCTGGGCGGCCGCCTGTCACTACACTGCTACACAGTCAACAGCTGCTTCTAAGGCGCGGAGGAAGCGGACGCGGACACTGCGCCCGGGGCGCGGACGGCCAGGACGGCCAGGACGGCCAGGACGCCTGCACCGGCAGGCCGGCGGCGGCACGACGCGGGACGCGATCGCGGACTCGGCGCGGCTTCGGCCGGGGAGGCTGGCGGGGCTCTAGGGTCCCCTGGAATGGGGCTGGGTCCGCGACTTGTGACTGCTCCAGCGCGGAGGCACGGACTGGACTGGACTGCGCGCCCCGCCATGGTCCCCACCGTGGTCCCCACCGTGGTCCCCACCGTGGCCCGCTCGGCCAGAGCGGCGGGGTACGGCGGGGCAGTGCAGGGAAGGGCAGGCGCGGCCACGCGCTGTTTGTTCCCCCCGCGTCCCTTGCGGTGCGCTTGCCCGCCTCGCCCGCCTCGCCCGCCTCGGCCTGGACGGGACGGGACGGCCCCTCGCAGTCCAGACTGCCCGCGCCGCTCACCAACAAGTTTGTTGTCTTTGCCGTCTGCTGTTATCTCCGGTCGGCACCAGCGGTCCGCGCGCCGGGCCGCGCCGCGCGCGGGGACCCCGAGGCCCAGGCCCAGGCCGTGACGCGCCTTTTCTACCTCGCCAGAAAACGCAACGCTTCGTGTCCGCGGCTTGCTGGCCCGGCCGTCGAGCTGGTACTTCCCCGCACTGTCATTGCTGTCATGCACGTCGCTCTCCTCGGCCGATGTGATTGTGCTCCTTGGGCGAGGGCAAAGGGCGGAGGGAGGCCTTGCTATTGCGGTGTAGTGGCCGTCAGGCAGGCGGAGGGAAGTGCCAAGTCGCTGAGGCGCCGTGCCCTGGACAGGACACCCTGGAATATCCAGCGCGGAGTGGCGGCGGCATGACTCCGCCAAAAGCATGTTGACTCGACTCGCGAGGCTCAGGGCCTGGCCATGGCCTACCCGGGAGTGGGTCTTTTGGGATTCCCCTGCCCCTTTGCTTTGTTCTGCTTGCTAACAACCGAGCACCATGCAGTGTTTTTCTCCATTGGAATTCATTTGTTTTGGGAATGATTTGTGTCAGAGTGAAAGGTCGACATTTGAAAAAAAAAAGGAACCAAAGTTTTTAACAATTTTAACTTTATATACAAAATGCACTTCACTAGCTACATGGCTTTGTTCCTTCAAAAAATAATTTTATGTACAATGATATTAAAATTAATAGCAGTGATGATTCATTTGCCTGGTAAGCAATACTTAGTAGCTAGTAAAACTTATCTCAAGATATGATAAATCAAACGGAAGGGTAAGCATTTTGCAGAAACAAAGTCCTCTCCAGGAAAGCAGATTACATCCTAGTACACAGGTATAGGTGGTGTTGAATATAGAATACTGGACAACATTCAGGTTTTCACTAGACATCTAGGGACACAAATTTCATGGTAGGCTTTTAGCCATGGGTAGATTCGCACCTCTACTAACTTTCTCATATCCTATGGTATAGAATACCCGTATGCACCTTTCTATTATCACTAGTGCTGATGAGACATCTCTTACTGTACAGGTATTATCATCTAATATGAACAAAACATTTCATGAGCTCTTCAAACCTGCTATTTAATTATGCATAAAACTGAATGGTCATTAGCCATTGAGTGACTTGTAGGAGAGATATGTTGGAGGTCCCAATCTATCTCTGAACCGACACCATCATGTCAAAATGTCAGGCTTTGACGATCTGGCTGAAGATCGAGACCGCATGGACTGGCTGTCATCCTCATTGAATCCAAAGCCACTGCAACACCATTGAAACAAATTAATATTTTACACTTGTAGTAGTGAACATTGTATTAATATCATGATTATTATTGTTAAAAGTGTTTTCAGTTAAAATAAATCCATGCAGGAAAAGGCCACATACTATAACAACATGAAACAACTGCTTTAAGAGAAAGGGGTTGGGGCAGATCTGTATGGAGTCCCACCGATCCTACCCCAGAGTCCTGGTCATCTGAAGCGAGAGCTGGAAACACACAAAGGCATTAAAAGCACCCTCACAAGTCAAACAAAACACGTGTTACGAAGCATGGACATGGTTGAAAAGGCAATCAAAGCACCAGTTAGAGACCATTGCTTAAAAATTTGTAATAAACACAAGCGCACACACACATGCACATAAACAACTGATATATAATGCAATTACACACCTGAAACGAATGACAGTCTTTCCAATGGCTTGTGCAGAGTCGGTATGCTGAAATGCCAATTCTACATCTCTAGGAGAAAATATTTTGTCAACAACAGGCTGCAGCTGTCCATTGTCAACTAGTTTTGCTAACTCATTCAAAGTGTCACTATTTAAGTGAACAGCACCCCATGCCACTTTTTCCTGCAACATTGTACAAAATTAATATCACACTCACAAACTTAATAATTCATATGTTGAAGTTTCCTTGTACAAAAGTATTTTTAAAGTGGTTTTTTTACCTTCATGACTAAGCACTGTATCTTGACCCAGATCGCATACAAAGTTCCAAGAATGAAACCATAGGAGTCAGATGCTATTTTGGTTGCCACCGTTGTGACAACAATACCATCATCATCACAAAATCTCAAACATGAGTCATGGACAACTGCTCCCAAAGTATTAAATACTACATTGAACCTGGAAGATAAAATGCACATAGTTACAAAATCCTTTTGAAAACAAATATATAATACATGTATCTCATTTTACTGGCATGTACCTTTCTCGTGAGGCAAGCTGTTTATCTACAGGTCCCTCTTCAAATACTATGGTGTCGTCAGCCCCTAGGGCGTTGCAGACTGTCAGTGCTCGGGCAGGACATGTCACAGTGACATGTGCGCCCCAGAGTCTAGCCAACTGGGTAACCACGCAGCCCACAGGGCTACTCCCACAATGAACAAGTATCCTACAAAAACAGAGAAATTTGAACAAATTAAAAGGGCAGTCAATACAGAAAAAAGCTTGGTAAGTACACCAAAATAGAAACAACTCTCACCTCTTCCCACGAGTGTTCTTGCTATTCAGTTTTGCTTGGTTCACCATTGCATCCCAGGCAATTGAACCTGAGTATGGCAAGGCAGCAGCTCCCTCAAATCCAATTCCTCTTGGTTTCCGCGCCACCTGACGTTCTTTTGCAACCACATACTGAGCTAAAGTTCCAGATGCCCAGTACGGGACAGCTAGCCAAACCTCATCTCCAATCTGAAGCCAAAGTAAATAAGGGTTCTAGCTCGAAGTACGAACAAAAGTTTGTTACATTTAATAATAAAACCTCAGTGCGGTACTTACTTCAAAGTTTTTTACATCATGCCCAATATCAACAACTACACCAGAACAATCTCGTCCCAGTACAACAGGTAGTTCCTTAGGAGTACTCTGCAAAACATTTATAAAAATTTCAAAACAATGCAAAAAAATTGTAAATTTAAATAATTACCAAATCATACCAAACATTGTAATACTCACAGCAGAGTACTTATGAAGCTGCCGCCTCAATACTCGGCCATAGCCAGAAGATATTTTTATGTCTAAAAAGTCTAAGGAGGCAGCACGAACTTCAATTAGCATTTGATCCGGTGATGTCAGAATGGGCATAGGAACATCATCACTTGTTGAAACTGCCTGCAAACCATATACAGACAAATGAATGAACCCCTGTACACCGACTGTATGCCATTCCCCATTACACATTCCCCATTCAAAAACAAGGGGGGAATAGAAAACAAAACACATTACATTTGCAACTTACATCTAATCCTCGGTAGTCCATGCACACAACTGCTCTAATTCTTTGGCTGGGTGAGGGTGGTGAATGAAGGGACATGCCAACCACTACACCAATCATGCCTCCCAAGGCAAAACCGACACAGCCAGTGTAAAAATTTCTTCGATTCACTGTAATGAACACAAAGCATACTGAGAGAGAGATTCCATTGAGACATGTAGCATAATAATAATAATTACTGTTAGTTGACATACATTCGTTTCCCAGCATAAGCATAAACTCATCGTATAATACGACAGGGTTTACTGCTCGGGGGAAGGAGGCTTTGGCCTCCTGAATGAGGTAGACAAGCTTTTCCCATATTGTGCGAAACGTTTGCCTCACTGCTGTTGCTTGATTACTTTCAATTGCAGCTAAAGCCAAATTATGCAATTCCTGCATTCGGCTATGTATGGCCATGTTTCCATGCTGAATCACTGATAACAACTGGACCTAAGGACAAATAATCAGGTTTGCATTAGTAGAGACAAGGGGCAGAGTGTCCTTTGTTGACAATAGAGATTAATGTCAAAATTATATCAAACAGTCTGTCGTACAGGACTGTCAAACAGATCCATCCCTACTTCCACCAGGACAGTCTCAGTTCTGTTTGTGCGCAGTAAAGGGCACAAAGAGTCATAGAGACAAATAATGTCCAGTGAAAAAAAAAATTAAAAATAAAAGAAGCATTTTAACCTTGAGAAAATCATTCAGTTCCTCTTCAATTTCTTAAATCAATTTCACATAAGATTGTGTGTAAGAGGAAAGCTCTTTGGGTGTTACCTGAAAAGATTCCAGTCTTTGGTTTAAGTGAAAGGCGACTTCATCCATCCTTGACAGCTCCAAGACATTGATCTAAAGAAAGCACCCCTCTACGCTGCACCCTCTTCACGTTAAGTCATATTTATTTTTATCTGTTTTCTTTTCAAAGGTCGTGCGGCGTCCAACCTCACTTAGCAGAAGATGGTGAGAAAAATCATTCTGCTTTCAGGTCATTCACTCGATAATAGCTGCGACGAGGTCAGAAAATAGAGAACCAAGGTTTATTAGCACAAAGTATGACCTTAAGCGATTCTTATTCGCAGTTAACTGATAGGTTTGTTTCTACTTTGCTTACATGATCAACCCCCCCGGCCCTAAAGAAGGGTGAGTTGGAGTTGTCTGCTACGGTGGACATTTGCTTCACTCGACACAAGGCAGAGAGGGCGTGGGCGTGACGTAGTAGTGACGTCACAAGATGGTAGCCATGGCAGGCGCGGTTTTCAAACCTTTCCATCTATTAAAAGGTAATTTTACTTGAAACCTTTTGTTTTGCCTGCACCTCTACGTTAGAAAAATGATAATGCTTCTGTTTTTATATTTTATTTATCAAAAATAAATTAAAGAGGAAACTAACGGCGCGCTGTTTTGTATTTTGCTGTTGGTAGCTTATGCTAGTCGTACTTCATTTGTTTCGGTGTTCTTTTGTTCTTCTCTTGCTCCCATGTTTGAATTTGTTTTGATTCCACACTCTCGCCCGCGCTCCCGGCGTGAGAATTCCTTAGAATTATTGCCAAGCGTTTTCTAATATATTTAACTTTGAGCCATCTCGCTGCTCTTCTAACCTAACCAGCATCCACTGTTTGCTCGACACTGAATACCCTATGAATGATTGCCTGAAATGGTGGACTATCGGAGAGGATTATTCCTTGTTAATTTTTAATTATGATGGTAGGCACTTACATTTTAAGAATAGAATGAAGGTATGGGACTGCTGTGGTTTTATAACTATTCAAACAAGAAAAATGTTACAACTACTTCTTTGCGTTGTGTCATTATGTTGCAATGCTTATTATGCTTTGAATTAAAATTGTGTCTTATTGTTGTGGCACATTAATCAGTTCGATAGTGGAGGTGATGACCAGTCTGCAAAATTTGGTGTGTTATGGCATGCTTAGAGGCAGAGGTTTCTGGCAACACACTGAAACCCTTTTTCCTGTCCCCCTCCCCTCCCAGCACACTCTTTTCGCCCTGGCGCGCAATGTCAACCCTCAGGACTTGGACGCTCCGCCCCGCCCCGCCCCGCCCCGCCGACACAATGAAGCCCTTTCTCTCGGCCGCCGCGTCACGCCAGAGAAGGCAATTCCTCTTGGTCTCCTTGGCCCGCCCGCTCAGGGCCCGCCTCCGCCTGCCGCGCTTTTTAGCCGGTCCAGCCGACCCTGTCTCTGTCTCTCTCGCGCCGCCGTACCGTCACTGGGCGCCGCTTGAGTGCGACAGAGAGAGAGAGAGAGAGAGAGCGACGAAACGACTTTTGAGGATGAGGCTGTTGCTGGCGCAGCTGGCCGCAGCGCTGCAGTCAGTCTGAGTCGGTCGCTGTCCCGACTTTGTCTCCCCTGGCAGCCCTAGGCCCTAGGCAGCCAGAGAACCGCGGCAGTGTCGTGTAGTGCAGTGTCTCTCGTTGCAGAGTTCAAGGAATACGGGCTGAAAACGGACCAAAGTGCTTTATCAACATTCACAGTTTCTTTATTCTTTAATATTTACACTTCATACAATTCAGTTTTACCTGTACAAATAAATATAATCTGATGTGGCCATCAAAACAAATTTACATTCAATTTACACATTAAACAGTGTTGATGAGGCCAATTTAGAGATGCGTCGAAAAAAAAAAGCATTGAAAATAGCAAACACATCTCTTAGTGAGTATAACAAAGTACTGCATTGAGGTAAACTTTGCCTGGTGAGCAGAGGGTTGGATTTGATATCCCACCGCCGCACCGAAAATCACATGCAGATATGACTCGAATTAAACGAGATATGTTTTGAAACATCAGCAAAATTGGAAACATTTAATTTCTATCATAACAAAAGAAATTAACAATGAAAAACCATAATAACATAAAAAATAGACGAATGATAAATTACAAATAAAGAAAGAGGCGATGGGGAACAAACAGGTTCAAAACATAGCGAATTTTTTTGGGGCCTCCATAACAGCTGAGTGGATCTGTTCGCTCATTTAACAAGTCATAAACAAAGATAAATTTCATGACTAGCATTTCACAAATCCGGCCAGATACATCTCAGCCACTGAGAGTCTGTAGAGTGGATTCCTTCTGACATATCGCTAAATTATGTACAGCCAATCAAAGCATAGGAATAAACTTCTCACAGTCCCTTTTGCTCATAAGAAGCAACGTTCAACACATAACATTTAAAAAATCCTAATCTGTAAGTTGCACCTGCTTTGTGCGACCCTCTTTAAAATTGACTCCACAATCCGCAGAGCGAACACGAAATTATGTGGACGACCACGGAGTTTACTCAGCATCATCTCAACTTCACGTGACACGGTTTCCCTTCGTCTCCGAACGAAAACGACATTCAAGCTCTCTGCAAAAGTCCGACAAAAATCATCTCCCCTCGAAATCCCAGCTACTTTTTAGGGGGAGGGCAGCAGAGCGGCGCAGCACTCACTCACACACACACACACACACCTTCATAACAAAATAAATTATTTAAAAACCATAAAAAAAAATACATGAACCCACGCTCCGACGGCCCTAAACTCTTGCTCGCAAATGAGGCGAATTATTTATTTTCTAAAACGGAATAGGCGCGATTGGAAGCGACGCCGCCCGGTATCATTTATCAAACACACCTGCTGCTTTGAGAGAGAAAGAGAGAGAGAGAGAGAGAGGGGGTAGTGCCCCCTCCCTCTCCCCGCGATACTGCGGTGCGCATGATTGATGTGCCGGCCCGCGATTGGAGGCGGGCCTCGAAGGCCTCGAAGGGCCGCCGATAAGGAAGGCAAGAAGGGCGGTGAGTTTATTCCGTGACAAAAGAAGGGGGTCTTTAAATCATGTTGCGCTGGCTCATCTTTATCAGGGCCGATCCGGGTCATATCTCAGCGGGTATTTAGTCGGGGATTTGGCCGGGACTGCCGCGATGCTTCCCCACGCCCCTCCGCTCCCCCTCCCCTCGCGTCCCCCTCGCCCGCTACTCATTCGGCCTATCTGAGATTAATGCTAATCTCTACTTGCCTCAAGCTATCCAAAGCTAAGAAAGTTGTCTTACGGACGAAGACGGACGATGGAATGAGGGCGGGTGGACTCGTGGAAAGGGTGGGGGAAATTGTGGACAGGGGAGCGATGGGCATTGGGGTAGAGTGTCGGCGTGTGTGTGTGCGTGAGTGTGGAGCGAAAGGTCACGTCATCTGCCCACCTCCGTGACCACATCTCCCATCGGCTGTGCCAGAGAAAGAAATGGAGCCTGCCGCCCTGCCGCCACGCCGCGCTCTTGAGACCCACTGGCGTCCAGGCCCCAGAGTACGTCCCAGCGGTACAGCGCTACAGCCAGGGCCCGCTCTTTTCGTCGTCAGGAGTACGACGCGTGTAGCGCGCGCAGTGCGTACCTCTAACTGCAGTCCGGGAGCGGAGTCGCTCTGGCTCTTGATTAGATTCTCCGGCTTTGCAGCGGCAGACATACACGCAGACGGACAGACAGACAGACAGACAGACGTAGGGACGCTAAGCAGGCCCGCAAGTCGAGCAGCAGAGCCTGAGCGAGATTAGCGGGGGAAGTGAGCTCCTCGGAAGGGCCAGGGCAGCCAGAGCAGCCAGGCCGACATATCCAGATGAGCTCGAACCATTAGACAAGACAGGCGCGGCACAGCATCCTCCGCCCTGCAAGTTGTCCCGCCCCGCCCCGCCCTGCCCCGCCCCGCCCCGCCACGCGGAACGCCACGCCCGCCGCCATCGCTCGGCTGTCACGGCCCTCCGTCCTCCATCCCAGTTGCAGGTGCCCCGCCAAGTTGAGCAATAACACAGTTAGTTCGGGGCGGCGCGGCGCGGCAGCGCGCGGCCCGGCCAGAAAATATAGATATATGTTCACCTGTTAGCGGGGCGGGGCGGGGCGCGGGGGGTGGGGCGTTCGGTAATAAAATTTGCATCGCGGTGCTCGGCGCGCTCTGTCGGCGGCGGGGCTTTTAGTGAGCACTCCGATGAATGCAGCGGGCGCGTGTTCGCCGTCCGTCATGGTTAGCGAAGGCCGGCGGCATCAGCAGCAGGAGGAGGGCGTCGGGGAGTGCAAGTCTAGCCCGGTGCAGCGTCCGTCGAGTCCGTGCAGTCCGTCCGCGAGGAGGACAAGGCCCAGGGGGCGTGCCGCCGTGGCTGCAGGAAGTCGGAAGGAGGAGGCGGAAGGCGTTCGCATTCTAAAGTGAGGCCTGACGTGTCATCGTGCGCGTGATATGTAGGCCCGCGTCAGCCGAACGGCCCATAAAGGGAAACCTTAGTCGGGGCGGCGGGCGCGGCGGGCGCGGCGCCTTGCACCACCCCGGCCCGGAGAGAGAGAGAGTTCCACGGCATGGCCGCGGCAGCCAATCACGGGCTCGCAGCGGAAAAGCGGAAAAGCCATTTCCAGGCCGAAATCGTTTCCCGCCGCTGTTGCCGCCGCCTCCCTGCCGGGCCGCCCAGCCGCCCAGCCACCCAGCCGCGCAGTTTGCTCTGCGACCCGCGGCCGCGAATCCACCAAAAAGTATCGGCAAATCATCAACTCGGGAATGGGTTCCCGTTTTCCCCCCCTTTCCTCTCTGTTTTTCACACACTCGGCGCTCGCCTTAGTCATCACAGCCATCCAAAGAGGGAAGTCCAAAGGCGTCGTCACACGCGCTGCTCCGTGTGAGCGCCGTTCCAGGTAAGCACTGCTTCAGGGTGTACGTCGTTCCAGGTGAACGTCGTTCCAGGTGAACGCCGATCCAGGTGAACGTCGTTCCAGGTGAACGTCGTTCCAGGTGAACGTCGTTCCAGGTGAACGCTGTTCCAGGTGAGCGCTGGCGACTCTCTCGGGCTCCGAGTCCCGCTCCGAGTCCCGCTCCGAGTGCCGCTCCGGGTGCCGAGGGGCGCGACGCCGAGGTGTTACCGCGAGACGAGGGTGGCGGCCGCCATGACGAGCAGCAGCAGCATCGCCCAGGGAGAGAGTTGGCTGCGGCACGCCAGCGCTGAAGGGCAGAATACAAACAATATGAGCATTTTTTTAGAAAAACGTTTTTTTAGGCGGAGCTGAAGCTGACTGCTCGCAAGCCTCAGAAAGTCACACTTGAAAGCCAGACAAAACCACTGTGACACCGACCGACTGACAGACAGACAGACAGACAGACAGACAGACAAGCCGACCGACGGTTCGGGAGAGCGCTCTGAGCTCCTACAATGGGAAAGGCGGGTGCGTCCTCGCGAGTCGAAGGCGAGTCGACGGGGTCCCTGCACGGCACTGCAAGGCTGCACGCATCCCCGTGTAACTCCGTGACATTCCGTGTAACGCGGCGCGAGGGACGGGGCGTGGGACGGGGCGCGAGGCGCTTCGCCGCGCGCACCGCCGTATTCTATTATGAAATGGGCCCCTAACTACTACTCGCCGTGCTGCGCTGGAGCGAGGCGGGGCGGGGCGGGGCGGGGCGGGGCGGGGCGGGGCGAGGCGGGGCGGCACGAAGAGTATGAGCGAGGGCCGCCACGCCGCTCGCCGCGCTATGCGCCTTGATAATGGCTTGATACACTCCACGTAATGAAAGGCAGCCCCGTGCCCGCAGTGGCCGCGGCGTGGCGTGGCGTGGCGCCGTGCGCAGCCACTTCAGTGGGCTCCTCCACGCGGCGCCGCACGGCTTGCCGCACGGTGTGCGCTCGCACACTCCGCCCAAACATGCAGCCAATGGCGCCATGAGCCTCTCAGCCTCGCAGCCCCGCAGTGCCTTCCGCTGCCGCGATATGTATGGGGCAATACGCGCCCGGTGGAGGCTGCGGAGGGGAGGGGGAGGGGGCTGGGCCGGCGGAGCGCCCGCAGAGTCGAGGGTAGGCAACGCGCCGCACACGCGCGCTCGACGGGACGGCCCGCCGCCCGGGCGCCTGCCGCGACGCTGAATCCGAGACGAGCCTGTCTCTCTCGCACCAACGAGGCCTCACGATCCCCCGCGGGGGCGCGAGGGAGGCAGAGCGAGATGCAGCGCCGCGTGGTGCCAGCCACGCCCGGGAGGTTGTGACATTGTTGCTGCGCGGTTTATCCGGCGGGAGGGTCAACGCACCTCGGGGAGAGAGAGAGAGAGGAGAGGGGAGGGGAGGGGAGGCCAGGGACGCGACTCGGGCTGCATAATGCACCGGCCCTAGCAGTGCCCTAGCAGTGCCCTAGCAGCGCTGCCCCGAGAGGAGAGCGATTCTCCCCGGACCGGCAGGGGCACGTACGCAGCGGCGGCGCGGCAGGGCAGGGCGGCGCCAGGTACCCGCACTCCGCCAAAAACCAAAGTGCCGGGCTGGTCGCGCTGCGCCGTCCATCGCCTGGCTGGCCCATTGTTTTTCGCTGCCAGCCCGAGTGCAGCCGAGTGCAGCCCGAATGCCGAAACGAGAAAAAATGGACCCCGAAGCCGGAAATTATCATCGCCACCATCATCATCATCTTCATCATCGACGTCACGTCCCGCGGGTCGTGGGAACGTCGGAACGTTCATAGGTCGAGCGGCTGCTGCAGGATGGCAGGCTCTCCAGAGGAATGCGAAACGCCACAGGGGGTGGGGGAGGGGAAGGGGAGGGGTTTGCAGCGATCGCTCATCGGCAGCGCGCTTCAGTATCGAGGCACGTTCGCTCTGCCGAACCACATCGCAACCCTCATCCGCCGCCACGCCGCCACGCCACGTACCGGCATGACAAAGGCACGGTGCTGGGGACGCGTGCCTTGAGAAACCCCACCGCCGACTAGAAAGAAGCGAAAACCGCGAAGGAAAATGAAAAAAAAGTAAGAAATATGACATTTTACAGAAGTTAGGTGAAAAAAAAGAGCGGTGATGCCGCCCCCCCTCTCCACTGTTACGAGTATATAAGGGCGCGAAAACAAGAGGGCTCTGCAGGCCGAGGGCTGAGGACGCCGCAGCGCGTTGCGCGCCGCACGGCGCCGCAGCTGTCGTTGTATCACTGCAAACTTTGCTCATAGAACTCGGCGACGGGAGAGCGACATTTCATAGGGGTGGGTGCCGGAGGAGCCGAAAAGCGAGCCGAAAAGCGAGCCGAAAAGCGAGCCGAAAAGCGAGCCGAAAAGCGAGCCGAAAAGCGAGCCGAGAAGCGAGCCGAAAAGCGAGCCGAAAAGCGAGCCGAAAAGCGAGCCGAAAAGCGAGCCGAAAAGCGAGCCGAAAAGCGAGCCGAAAAGCGAGCCGAAAAGCGAGCCGAAAAGCGAGCCGAAAAGGGGGCGAATGAGCAGCAGGCAGCGACGGCGGTGACGTCACGGCTCGTCACGGTGCAGCAGGGCCTGGCTCCAGGTCGCCGACCTGACCCACTGCGAGCGGAGGGTGTCGCACTACACGGCGGAAGTGCGCCTTTTACATGAGAAACGTCCGCCGCCGCGCCGCCCCTCCCTCCCCACCCCCAGCCAGGCCGCCAGTGACACACTGATCCTTTTAGGGCGCGGAATTCCGCGGCGCCACACACGCCGGCTACTGAATTACAATGGCCTGGGTGCAGCAAACGCGCCGCCTGCTCCCGCCGCCCTGCCTCAGAAAATCGTCTGTCCTTTCAAGCTCACCCCAGGCCCGGTCCAACCTGGCTGCCTGCGCCCGCCCCCGCCCCCAGCCCCCAGCCCGCCCCCAGCCCGCCCCCCGGCGGCACATGACTGGAATCTGGGCTCGGACGGAATACATCAGTTCGTCAGAAAGCAACAGCGACGCGCAATCCGGAACCAGCGGTGCCAGCAGCGACGCCAGCCACGCCAGCCACGCCACAGCGGTGCCAGCACCCCGCTGACCCACTTTCAAGCCAACGCGTTAAACTCCCAGTGGCGCGGTCGCCGAAAACAACGGCCAGCGGTTTGGTGCGTACCTTGCACCATGTCGGCGCGACTCCTGCCGCCGCCGATGTTGCCCTTGCTCTCCAGGGCGGGCGGCCGCTGCTTGTCGCCCTCGATGGACTCCTCGTTGCTCTTCCAGTACACCGTGGCCACGCTGGCCAGGCACTTGAGCTTCATGTCGCCGTGCAGGAAGTGCCTCGGCTCCACCTGGAACAGACACCAAGCTCGTTTTTCGTCGTCCACCGGAACTGATTTTCGGCGGCGCCCGGCGGCGCCGCGATGACGTACCTTGAAGTGGAGGCCGAGGATGGCCGTCTCCAGCCCGTCCGGCGTGGACACGGACTTGTAGGGCCCGCGGAGCTGCGCCTCCTCCGCCACCTCGCCGTTGATGAACCACAGCAGGCTGGCGGCCGGCTTGGACCGGTTCACCGAGCACAGCACGTCCACGTCCTCCTCCACGCGGTACTTGGGCTTGCCGCCCGTGATGTGCGGCCCGTCCTTCGGCAGCACTGTCCAACACAAAGAGAAGGTACTGAATCGTGTTTCGTTCCAGAGTGGGACAGGGTCGAGGGGCTACGAGGCGAGCTCGGGAAAAAAGGGGGGGGGGAGACATTCACCGGGACTTTACACTGGTACATATAAATTCGAAAGTCCCAAAAAGTGCGCTTTGGAGCTCTGCAGAAATTTCCAAAGACTTCGCTTTTCAAAAAAAAAATATTTTGTGTGTATACTCAAAAGTTCACCGGGATTTTTTTTTGTGAAGCAGAGTACACACGCCACCGGCTGCGTGGTAAGAGGTGGAGTGGGAGTGTGTGTGTGTGTGGGGGGGGGGGGTAACTGGGTACCAGCGAGCAGGTTTGAACGGGGTAAGCCCGGAGTACAAAGCGGTCGCTGCGCGCTGCGCAGGGGGCAGTGCTGTTCCCAGGGCTGTGTCGGGGACTGAGCAGGCGGTGTGAGGGGGCCGGGGGGGGGGGGGGAGGGGGCGACACTACCCGGATCCAACAACAGCCAAGCCCGGCCGGCCCAGGGCAGGGCGAGGCAGGGCGAGGCAGGGCCCAGTGGAGTTTGGAATACTCCCCGATGGAGTCCCGGAGTCCCGGCCAGCTGCGGCGCTGGCGGACTTTAATCCTACGGAGGCCTCTGCGCGCTCTGCGCTCTGCGCCGGGACGGCCGGGACGTCGCACCGGGGGGAGGGGCGCGGGGCGGGGGCAGCAGTGGCGGTAGAAAGAAGCGACACAAAACTTGCGAGGAGGAAGGGAAAGAGAGAGAGAAGAGGGAGAAGCCAAGGACGGCGTGCATGCGCCCCCCCTCTCCCCCCCCCCCGCGGGTCCAGGAGGTCCGGGGCGGCCTCGAGGAGAGTGTGACGGAGACGGAACAGGTGAAGCGGCGCCCGGCATTCCAGAAGCCCAGCCTCCTTGGAGAAGTGCCCCGGGGGGGAGGAGGGTTGGGGGTCGGGGGGTGGCGGGGCTCGCGCGCCACATGGACGGTGAAATGAGGCAACATCCCGGCGACCACACCACGGCGCCCCGACCGGGCTGGCAGGCAGCAGGCAGGCAGGGCTGGACAGACCAAACAGCGCGTGAAATGGAAGCGGTGTGCCAATCACGCTGCCAATCTTATTTTAACCCCTGCCGCCCCGCCGTGCCCCGCCGTGCCCCACACTGGCTGGCACATTCCGCTGCCGGGTAACGGCCCGTGGCCGCGCGGTCAGCCGCTCTGCCTCCGAAACCGTGTGACGGTGGTTCGAATACCGACGGGTGTAGTCGCGCCTCGCGGCCTCGCTGCCTAAACCATACAACGCGCGCGACCGCCCCCCCCCTCCCCGCTTTCCCGCGGCGACGAGCCAATGACGCGCCCTCCGCTTCCGTTCGATAAAGACAATGACGCGTTGGATGAGCCTCGGCGGAGCAAGCGGCAAGCGAAGCGACCCGGCGCAGCCCGCCGCGACGCCGCGACGCCGCAACCGAGCGCCCCTTTTTTCTCCCTCCTTTCAAATCTGGCGCTCATAATTAAAAGACAAAGGCCGGTCGCCGAGACCCTCCCCCCTCCCTCCGCATCCGCCCTTAATGTAGCCAGGCAGCCTATTGTAGAGAACGCTCCCGACCAACCGCCGCCGCGCCGCCGCCATCCGCGCGCCAACGCGACTGGGAAAAGGCTTTCCTTTCACGTCTGGCCGCCGTGCCGCCGTGCCGCCGTGCCGCCGTTCGGGCCGCGCTGAGCGACACAGACACACAGACACAGCGACACAGAGCCGGCCGCCCAAATTGTCAGCGGCCCGATGTATTATGTATTACAAAAGGAGCGGCCGGACGGGCCGCCTGTTCTGGTCAGGTGCCGTCTGCGGGGGCTGCGGGGGCTGCGGGGGCTGCGGGGGCTGCGGGGGCTGCGGGGGCTGCGGGGGCGGGGATGCGGCCGTGATGTGGGCAGCGGCAAAGCCAGCGGCCCGTGAAAGGGAAGGGCCGAACCCGAACCGCCTCGCTCATCGTTTTGATGAAATCGAGAAGGTGGTGGTGAAGGGGTGGCGGTGAAGGGGAAATGTCAATACTCCTCGCAGGGTGGTCCCTGGCGCGTGGGGTAGCGCCAGCGCGCCAGCAGCGGGAAGTACAACCGGCAGAGTGTTGACGCAGCGTGTGGACCAGCGTGTGGACCAGCGCGTCATCGCGCATTCCGTCTGCACACGTCGACTACCGCACCGGATTGCCCCCTTCGAGCCCCTCCCAGCTACTACCCTCCCCCGCATTACGTATTCTCTTTCGGATGTGTCCGTTAAGTGTCACCATCACCCCCTCCCCCTCCCCGCTACCTTGGCGGGCGCTGCCTTCTGGCCTTTCGAGCGATCCCTGGATCCTGGAGGCAGCTCCGCCTGTCCCCTCGCCTCTGTCTGTCTGTCTGTCTGTCTGTCTGTCTGTCTGTCTGTCTGTCTGTCTGTCTGTCTGTCTGTCTCCCCCCTCCCCCCGCAGCGCCTGCCATTCTCAACTTAGCACGGCGCGTGCATTCTATCCCCGATTCCATCCGCCTGGCGCGCTCTATCCGCCCTTCTATCCTTATCGCCGAGGCCTGCCCCACATGCCGGACCGCTGGCCGAGCTGGCCGGGCCGCCGGGCCGCCAGGACGGCGTCAAAGGCGCCGCCAGACCTGGCCGTGGCCGGGCAGACCGTGATCCCCTTCAAGCAGGCCGCTGTCAGGCCTGTTGCTGTTGGAATAGACGATAATATCGCTGCAGCCCCGCCGGCCTCCCTGCCGGCCTCCCTGTCGGCCTCCCTGACGGCCCGCCGGCCTTGGCTGCCTCTCCTTGGCCTGCTCCAGGACGGCCAGGACGGCCAGGAGCCCATGGGTGACGTGGGGCCGGGCCGCCGGGCCGCCGGGCCGCAGAGCCGTTGGCTTTCCAACCCTTTGAACGGTATCAGGTAACCCGGTCGAATAACGGTAACCCATCATGGCGCCGACTGCACCGGGTAGCGGCGATCCTCTTAACCAAGTTGGCCGGCTTGGCCGGCTTGGGCGGCTTGGGCGGTCTGCCGCCCTCCGGCTGGGTTGCAGCGAAGGTGGCCACTGCGCCACTGCAAACGGATCCGCCCCGCCTCCAACAAGGCCAACACGGCCAACAAGGCTCTCGTCAATTGAAACCAGCCAGAGTGGCGCTGGCGAGCTGGCTGGCCGGGGAGTCTCACTGGCAAAAAGCAGGCAAACTTTCTTGGCGCGCGGATTCAACTTTTTTTTCTCCCTTCTTCACTTTTTGGCAGTGGATGTACGGCGGAAGACGGGCGGCGCGGCGCACCTCCAGTCCCACCGACGTAGATCCACTTGAGTACATCAAAGACACGTACTGTGTCACTCCAAACCCATCACGTATCCACGCCCACCTCGACGGTGACCTCGACGGTGACCTCGACGCCGACCGTGCCCTACATCGCGGAGGGGAGGCGGAAGGTGCGATTGCGTCTGCGAGAGGCACGACAGACCCGTTCCGCTTTCAAACAACACAAACATCTGGCCTCGAAACAAAAATAACGCCCGCGCATCCACATATGGACGTCACACGGTTTCGCCAGTGAAACAATTGGCCTAGCCCAAGTAGGGCCAGGCAGGCGGCCGCCTCCGTTCCGTTCCGCTCCGCTCCGTTCCCGGGCGTCACCTTCGTTAGTCGGTAGTTAGCATCTAGTTACAGACCTCCCCAGGGTCTTGACCCTTCTCCCCGCCACGCCACTCTCCGCCTCCAACTGAAACTTGACGTGATCGCAGAGCCGGAAAGCAAAGCGGAGAGGGAGAGGAGGAGAAAGAAGAGGAGGACGAGGAGGAAGGGGTGCAAAGTCTTTCGCCCAGAGGCCCGGCTAGGCGGTGACCGGCTACAGCGCTATTATCCGTTTAATTAACGCCACCAGGCTGCTTGCTGCTTTCTCCTCCTAGGTCCCTTCGGAAAAAGGTCCCATCGGAGCGCACCAAGAAAAACAATTACTCTTTGAAGGGGGTGGGCTGCCGCGAGGCTGCTGGGGCAGCCAGCCCGCCACCGCAGCGTGGCCCTCGACGGTCCGGACGGCCGAGGAGGCCCGGAGGAGGGCAGGTCAGTGCGTCAGCAGCACGTCAGCCAGCCCGCCCCGCCGCCCACCGCGGCCACGGCGCCGACGGCCTCCATTAGCTCCTTCCGGGCCGCCCCGATATTGCCGCCAAGTCGCGGCCGTCGCGGCGCCGGCCGAACAAAGCGACCGAATAAGTCGAGCAGATTGGAAACAAAACACGCGGCCCAAATAAAGGAGATAAAAAAGTCGGCCGCAAACAACAAAGCGGCGGGGCTCGTCTCGTCGTCCAATTATTTGAACGAGTTCTTGTTTCGGCCTTCGGCGGGCCGTCGGCAGCCTTCGGCCGCGTGCCGCGCGGGGCCGCTGCGGCGCTGCGGTCGTTAGGGTGAGTTGCGCCGCGTGCCCTGCGCGAGCCAGCCTCGGCGGGGAGCAGCGGGGCGTGAAGGTTTGTTAGCGAGTCTAAGGAGATAGGCCTTCGCTTCCTTTCGCCGCCCACCTTTCCATTAATTGGCTGCGAAAGGCGATCGGACGGCGCGGCCGGGCTCCTCAAAGACCGCCGAAGTGCCGGGGTGGAGGGGGCACTGCGTGGCCTGGCATGGCCTCGGCAGTATGGCATGGCCTCGGCAGTATTGGCGTCAGCCTGCGGGGTAGGCACGCCCGCGGCGCGCACGCACGACGGGCTGCCTCCCTCCAGGCGGCAATATGTCGCAAGGCGGCGGCGACGGCGGGGACGCGGACGGCGGGGGCGGTGCAAACACAGCGCGGTCCAAAACAGCCTCTCGATGCGCACAGGGTCCACGGGGTTCGGCGGAGGGCGGAGCGGAGCGGGGAAGCAACGAGAAAGATAAAAATGCAAATATCGATACGGAGCAGGAGAGAGGGAAAAAAGGACGGGCAAGAGAGAGAAAGGTTGCGGTGAGCTAACGGCCGCGGCGACGCACACGGCGACGACCGCCAGGCCGAAGCCTCGCCGAAGCCTCGCCGAAGCCTCG